AGGGGATCAAATACTTATTTCACTCATTGAAATGCAAATCAATTTTTTTATTTTTTTTATTAAGGATTTTCAAATAATACAAACAGTCAAAACAATCAGACAAACACACAAACAAACAAAAACCCCAAGCGCTGAGAATTAAATAGCACATCCCTGAAGATATTAATCTCTACCTATTTAATTCAAACAAAAACATGTCAGGAAAGGAAGAGCCAAAGCGCTCTTAAAATAAAAGCTCAGAGTTTTTGTAAAAAAGAGTGGAGGGGTTCCCAAAGTCTCCAGAATTTGTCCGACTTGTGATTGAGATCATAAGTTAATTTCTCCAGAGGAAGAAAGGCAGACAGCTGGGATATCCACATAGTAACAGTTGGAACCTGAGGCGTAGACCACTTCAGTAGAATACATTTTTTAGCCAAAAATGAGAGTATTCTAAACAAAGGCTTAGAGTCCGAGTCAAAAAGATCTTTAGGAGTGTCATTCAACAAATAAAGTGAAGGAGATGAAATAAAACTTTTCCCTGTTATCTCCTGGGTTACAGAATGAACCCCTTTCCAGAATGGTTGAATGTGATCACAGGACCAGAATACGTGAAAAAATGTGCCCTTGTATGTCTTGCATTTAAAACAAAGATTTGAACAACCTGGGAACATTTTGTGGAGACGAACAGTTGTAAAATAAATTCTATGAAAAAATTTGAAATTTTGTTCATGTAAAGAAATTGAAGTACATTTTGGAAAAACGCCGTTACAAATCTTGGTCCAATCTGCTGAATTAAATGATACTCCTAGGTCCCGTTCCCACAGTGGTTTCAAAGAATCATAAACTGAAGAGTCAGAATACATCAACAAAGCATAACATTTGGAGATAATCCCTTTAAAAGATTTAACTGAAATTATGGTTTCTTCCAGTTTTGATAAATTTAAACGAAATTTGTTCTGCCTTAAAAGAGACTCTATGAAATGCCGGATTTTAAGGTATTTGAAGAAATCTTCAGAGAAAATGTTAAACTCCACTCTGATTTGTTCAAATTACTTCAAAGATTCAGAAATCAACAGCCCTGAAAAGTCAGACAAACCCTTACAACTCCACTCCAACAGACCAATACTCCTAATCTGAATGGGAAAATCAGGATTCAAAGCCAGAGGGGAACGAATAGAGATAATTTGAGGAATGTTCAAATGTTTTTTCACATCATTCCAAACCAGTAGTGTATTATAAACAATTACATTATCAGTAAGAGAGTTTATCTGGTCTATATTATTAATAAACCAGAGGGATCCTAATCTTCTAGGATAGCAAAATAAGGATTCAAAGTCAATCCACAGAGCATCCTGCCTGTTCATAACCCAGCTTGTTATTGTTTTGAGTTGGCAAATCAATTTTTAACCTTTATATAATGTGTTTTTTTCTGGATTTTTTTGGTTGATGTTCTGTCTCTATCCGTTAAAATAAACCTACCATAAAAACTACAGTCCCTTCATTTCTTTGCAAGTGGGCAAACTTACAAAATCAGCAGGGGATCAAATAAATATTTTCCCCACTGTATACAGGTGGAGCTGGGGAAGGTGAGGGTTTCAGAGGAACTCTGAAAGCATGCAGCGAACTGCTCTAGTGAATGCTAACAAGCCATTTTAATTGTAAAGCAGTAAGCTCAATGGCTGCGTATGCAAAATGAACCAATCAGCCTGTGCCAACTGCCAAGTAGTTTAACACTGTGAATATCATCAGTTTGCATTAACGACCCATCAGTCTACGCCATCTAGAGTTTCATGACAGAACTTGGCACTACTTTTAATATCATCAATAATATTATGGTTTTAATGGGACGTCACATTCTTATCAAACTGCAGCAGGTTATTGTGTCACTAAAATGACTAATCCCAACACCTCACTTACACATCGTTGAGCTCTGCCACACGACCCAAGAACTCATCATAGGTGAGGTAGCCACTGTCACGCACTAGCCCCACATGTTTGATCAGTTTCTCAGGGAGTCTGGTCACTGCCTGGCCAGAAAACTGCTGGCCCATCTTGGCTCCAGATGGAGGGCTGCTCCAAAACAACTCTAGACCTCATTCACTGCTGGAGGCTCTAGATAAGAGAGAATGTCGACATGACACATCATACAGTGTGATGTGCTACACTTCATAAAAACTACTTTAAACAGCATTTTCTTTCACATGGAATTTTATGACCTCATGTTAATTGATAGCATACAATGAACATTTGTATGTCAAATTAATTTGTCACACCAAATCTATATTTAAGTGCAGTTCAAAAAGCTAAAATGTGCTCAAAAGTGTCAAAAGAAATGGTGGCCTGTCACAGAAACCAAATATTTCTATAGGGTCATAGATGGTGGGGTCCAAAACTCTGAGACCACATTGAAAACTTAGGAATCAAAACTGTAAATAGAGTTTTGGGATTTTGGTTAAAAAATGGTATTATGTAGAGACTTTTTAATAGATGTAATTTTGTGACACTGATCATGTGAACTTGCTTGCTTAAAATATAGGCTACTTATCATGATAGGCTACTGAATCATTCTCAAATCAAAGGGATAACAATCACATTTCAATGAAACACTTTTTAACTTCTTAATTTAACCTTTCGCTCAAATTTAGAGAGAATACAATTGTAATTGTAGAGAAATGGGAAATTAAACATGGTCCCCACTGTCCATATATTTTACCCTAAAATATTGATAAAAATGAAATTTATGCTCATGTTATTAGTCAGCTAAGTTACCTACAGAGAAACAATGGGAACGTGATGTGCTAAAAAAAAAGCATGTCCACAAATGAATCATATTAAACTGCTGATATTAAATGACTCACCTCTCTACTTATATATTATTAATATTAATTACTCATGCTACATCAGTCATTTTTCATAGATATCGATGAAGGTCTCATGTTGTTAGTGACATAAATCCCGAAACATTTATTCATAATAAATGTGCACCACCAATACTTTCGAAATGAACAGGTTTATTCATCTTCTTACCTACTCTATTGTTTACCAAAAATAACAAACTGTCTTTCAAAAGACGTAACAACCAAGTAGACAAGTGAACATATACATTTGTTTCAGAATGTAAAAAGGTGTTTTAAATATAGACGATGTTGATATAAAACAATTACTGTTGCTACTAGTGTTAGCTTGGCTAGCCAAAACAATACATAAAGCCCGTAACGGAAACACACCCAACACTTGGTATTAGCTACAAATGAACAAGAAACCAGCGAGATGAAAATAAGTGACTACAAACCTGTTGACATTTGTTTTATCCAGGCAAATATTCGAGATAACAAGTAGGATGATAACAAGAAAAGCTTGACGCGGGTTGATGATGTCACGAGCACGCTCAATGGTAAAATCTATTGAACCTTGATACTTTCAGACAACAAGTACAACTAAGGAAGAGTACAAATTATGATCATTTAGCCTTATCATACAGCACTATTAAGAACAGTTAGTATTTATATCCGTTATTGATATTTTAAAGTAAAATAATATTAGAAAATTAAACGAGCAGCAAACTAAAAAAGTAGGCCTAACATTTGACTTTTTTTTTTTTTTTTTTTTACAAAAATGCGGTGTTTTTTTAGAGTGAGTCCGGGTCTTGTTCCATTTGAAGGATGATGTTGCATTTGCTATTGTTGTTGTTTTTGCTGGTCTGTTCTGGCATACAATGCTTCTCACTTATTTGTTTCCACATCTCGGTTTCAATAATCTCTTTTGGCCTCATTCTGGTCCAGGATGGAAACCGTTGTCCTCTTTTACTAAAGCAAAGCACACTAGTCAGTGAAGAGTATGCATGTAACAACTGTTTTCTCATGACAGTGGATTAAACACTTACATTTTGAGATACCAAGCTGCACCTGCTGCTGCCAGCAAGAACAGTAGCACGATGGAAATGACGACAAATGTTTTGGGAGCTGCTAAAATATAAAGAAGACAAAAGAGTATGATAAAATGAATTTGCAAAGTTATTCAATTATTAAGGAGGTGATCTAAGTTTCAAAACCCAACCTCTAATGGATGGTCTGTTAGGTGTAGTGGTCTGGGACAATGCAGGCTGACCTGTTGGAGTTGAACTATGCTGAAGAAGAAAATGAGTGGATGAATGAGAGGAAGACGAGGGGGATGAGGTTGAGAATTTGCGTGAAGTTCTGGGAGATGAAAGAGACAGAGGGCTTGTTGTTGCCTGGGAACTGTCACTGATGTTAGAAAGACTAAGTGTTATAAATGTTGTGGAGGAAGTGTTGAAAGTAAAGGAAATGGATGGGGTGGATGTGTAGGGAGGAAGGGATCTTGATGTGTAGGCAGGAGTAGAGGTTGACTGAATGGATGATGGATGGGTTGTTTTAGTGGAATAATGGTTGTTTGATGGTGTTCTTCCTCCTGTTGTAGATTGAGGCCTGCTTGATGTTGTTTCAAATGATCCATTAGGACCTGAGGTGCATTGTGAGAGACATTTTGCTGATAATCCTAGTAGATTTATTTACTGATTTTAAGTTTACAATTACATGTTTGTGAAAAAAAAAGTCCAGACATCAGCATATTGTAGATTTTTTTTTTAAATCACATTTTAAACATCATTATTCCCAATTTCAAGACACTGATTATTATGATGAAAGCATTTTCAGAAACATATTATACATATAATTACCTGCTGGCTTAAAACAGTAAACATCAAACATTTTGCTGATGTCAGCTCTCCAAAAAGAAACGCCTAACTTGTTTTTACCACATTTTTCGCTTTTCTCGATTCGAGGAATAACAGCGATATGCTCCTCAACCCAACCAAACCTGTGTGAAAACAAGATATCTTCTAAGAGTGCAATCTCTTAGAAGAAACAGAACCTGTAGAGTTCAAAAACTTCTAACTTCTAACCATCACACAAACACACACACACACACACACACACACACACACACTTCTATTCTGATAGTGACAATACATTCACAAAATTCATTATACATTTGGGTATATAGTGTCGCTGTAGGTCTGTGTCCTGGACATTCGTAAAGAATGCCCATATTATATTTAATTTAAATGAGTCTGGTATTGTACTTTGAAATGATATATAAGGCATCCAGGTTTTTAAATGTTATTTAAAAACAAGAATCATATTTCCTAAAAGAGCAGATCAATACCATATATCTACAATCATATTTTAAATTTGACTATAATGTCTGTTTAATTGTCTCTCATTAAATAGTGATTTACCTGCATGTCTGAAAGCCATTTTTGTTTGCTGTTTCCACTTCAGCCCTTTTAGCAATTCTCATTTTAATAGCCTCACATGCTTCTTTGGCTGTGGTGGCATTAAAACTGTACACATTGTTCTTGGTTTGGACTAACAGTACTCCAGAAATTCCATCATTTGTAGGGACTAAAAGCAACCAACAAAAGATGGTTTTAATAAAGTGCATAAGTATAGATTCACAAACTATTAAAAATTGCATTTAAATCAACAAAACAAGAAAGAGATAAGCCTACCTTGGATTAGACTCACATCTACACAGAGTGTGCTTGTAAATAAGAAGAGCGGTAGACATAATTGTAACCAGACTCTAGCCATGACTGCAAAACATGCCACCAAAACTGTCCAGAAGTTTGAACACAATCATTCTGATGATGCTGCAGAAAGAGACCCATAAAAATAGGAAACAGGAGGTTGAGGATGATCTGTAAGATGACCTTCCCAATGAGGGCATTTAAAGCTAGGGCAGAGGACAACTAAAAAACTTTCACTTCCTCTGGTTGTGCACCAGTTATGTCAAATATCTTTGAACTCATTTGATATATCATGCACATATAGACATTCTGGACAAGTTGGAAAAATATCTGACTTCCATTCCATATAGGAATCACATCTGACTCCGTTAAGTATATAAATAAATAAGTCAAAAACTTCTAACTTCTAACCATCACACAAACACACACACACACACACACACACACACACACACTTCTATTCTGATAGTGACAATACATTCACAAAATTCATTATACATTTGGGTATATAGTGTCGCTGTAGGTCTGTGTCCTGGACATTCGTAAAGAATGCCCATATTATATTTAATTTAAATGAGTCTGGTATTGTACTTTGAAATGATATATAAGGCATCCAGGTTTTTAAATGTTATTTAAAAACAAGAATCATATTTCCTAAAAGAGCAGATCAATACCATATATCTACAATCATATTTTAAATTTGACTATAATGTCTGTTTAATTGTCTCTCATTAAATAGTGATTTACCTGCATGTCTGTAAGCCATTTTTGTTTGCTGTTTCCACTTCAGCCTGTTTGGCAATTCTCATTTTAATAGCCTCACATGCCTCTTTGGCTGTGGTGGCATTAAAACTGTACACATTGGTCATGGATTGGACTAACAATACTCCAGAAATTCCATTTGTAGGGACTAAAAACAACCAACAAAATATGTTTTTATTAAAATGCAAAAGTATAAAGTCACAAACCCTTAAAAATTGGAAATCAAGAGAAAAAGATAAACCTACCTTGAATTTGACTCACATCTAGACAGAGTGTGCTTGTAAATAAGAAGAGCAGTAGATATAATGGTAAACAGACTCTAGCCATGACTGCAGAACATGCCACCAAAACTGTCCAGAGGCTTGAACACACTCATTCTGATGATGCTGCAGAAAGAGACCCATAAAAATAGGAAACAGGAGGTTGAGGATGATCTGTAAGATGACCTTCCCAATGAGGGCATTTAAAGCTAGGGCAGAGGACAACTAAAAAACTTTCACTTCCTCTGGTTGTGCACCAGTTATGTCAAATATCTTTGAACTCATTTGATATATCATGCACATATAGACATTCTGGACAAGTTGGAAAAATATCTGACTTCCATTCCATATAGGAATCACATCTGACTCCGTTAAGTATATAAATAAATAAGTCTCTCTCTCTCTCTCTCTCACTCTCTCTCTCTCTCTCTCTCTCTCTCTCTCTCTCTCTAAAATGTATTAAATTGTTGTTATAATGACTAGACATTTAATTCAAGTTCAATTCATTGTAAATGTTGACTTAAAACATTGTTGATGTCCTTGATGATTTGTTATCCAACTGAAAAAATATTTTCTCTCAATGTGTCCTTGGACAAGTGAAAATTTTATAAGCCTAATGTGTAGCATCTGTGATGTTAGCAGAAGACTGCTGAATTAGGCCTGCTTCCTTCTGCAGGTCATTCTTTCCAGTGTTGTCTGTGATTCTGAAGGCTAAATAAACAGGAAGGCTCATTACCATATCACTTTCAAAGCAACCAGCAAAGTTGCATGCTATTGAAAGAAGCTCTGGGACCGTGAACAGTAAATTACAGGCTGTGTTAGTGTATAGAGATGACTTGTGAGGCATGCAGGCAAACATAGAAAGCATCTCCTCTGAATGAACCCACAGGGGAGGTGTAGAAAATTACAGGAAGTTATTAAAAGCATCCTGTACCATTTTTGCAGATTCAAATAATTATCTAATCTCTAAATTCCTGATTTAGAACATAAATGCATCTTTCCCTGACTTTTCTGAGAGCACAGGAAATAAACCATGACAAAAGGTTTTGACTGGGATTTTCAATATTATTCTTTTGACATTTGAAGAATTTAGTGTACTCTGCTTGTTATATTACTAAACTAGTTGAAGTCACAAAAAGTAAAAAACTGACCATGGAAACTTAACACTGGACTTCAAGCAACTTGGTCTATGAGCTTCTCTTATTTAATACACGAGTTTCACAATTTGAGTTGAATTACTGAAATAAAGGAACTTTTCCACGACATTCTAATTTATTGAGATGCACCTATATATACTTGTAAAGGATCTGGTGTTATTGAGGTAGACTAGTACAATAGTAGGAATAGAATTCTGAAAAATTCTGAATAATAGTTTAAGTATGTTATTTACATGTTTTAGTGTGTTATTCACTTGTGAAATTGTGACAATGAGTGATCACAATATATATAACAATATGGATATGAAATATTGATTTGACTTGAATCTAATATTTGTTATTATCTTAAACTTACTCTTAGAACAAAGTCCATTAGGAACCGTTCACACAGGACGCATTTTGTGTTTAAAAACGTGAGATGCAGGCCAGTCCGTTTTTCAAAATAGGTAGGCGTAACAGTCAAGCATGTCCCTCTAGCGCATGTTTACATAGAGAAACAATGGAAAACCAGGACGGAGGAATGCAAAATCACATTCTGTGTGAACAGCCCCTTAAGGGTTCAGTGCATGTTTACATAGAAAAACAAAATAAAAGCAGCACAGTTGAATGCAAAAGCGTGTTATTTTTGAACAGCCCCTTGCAACCCGCTAAGCAACAGATGAAAACTGCAACGTTATTGCAGTTAGTGCTATTCTCTCTATACACAAAGAATGCAACTTGCTTAGGGCCGCTGAACCACCAGGGGACCCCCTTGCTCTCAAAGATGATTTAATGATTAGGGTGGTGCGATTAATAGAATTTCGTTTCGTTTTTTCGTTTCGG